GACCTGCTTCTGCTTCTCTCGCTCTTCCGCCTCTTCAAAGCGGGCCAGCGCATCCTCTAGATCGGCCAGGTGGGATGCCGCGGTATTGTCATGGCGCTGAGTAGCTCGAGACGACTCGGCCTCATCGTTCATGGCGCAGCGAGGGGAGTTTGCCTGTCGCCTCGTCTCTCATTGAAGGCGACGTGGTGGTTTGGAGTGGATAGAGATGCTTGACCCGGGCTGTCGTGGTTCGCGCAGCTTTGGTCATGTAGTTGTAGGCACCACTCGCGCGCATCGGGCCTGGAACATCAGGAAGGGCCGATGGCCGAAGTGGTGAGATAATCGATTGCTCCGCATCTTGAAGCCATACACAACCCACTCTATACCTGATATAGCGCTTCCAGGGCTTCTGTATAGCTTCAATTTGCGCATTCAGAGCTAGCGCAGTCTTCTAGATCTGCGGGTTCATGTAACGACCCTGTCATTGTACACTTCTACCCACGCGACACCTCCGCCGCCTCCGCATTTGCATCTGCATACCACCCACCATGTCTTTCGGACCACCAAACAGCGCGCCGCTGCCCTCTTCTTTCGACGAGAATGCGTATGTAGACTCAGACATCCTTCTAGCCAATCTTGAGGATTACATAAGATACACCTACTAACTACGTCATCCAGCGACTTCTACAATGAAAACACCCTCGACAAGATATGGCGCCGCTTCCGCGAAGAGCCGCTCGTGCCCCTCGGCTGCGGTCTGACCGTCTGGGCCATTATCGGCGCAACCCGCTCGATGCGGAAAGGTGACCACAAGGCGACCAACATGTACTTCCGCCGACGTCTATACGCCCAAGCCTTCACAATCGCCGTACTGGTCGCAGGAAATATGTACTGGCAAAAGGACCGCGTGAAGCGCAAGGAGTACGAGAAGCAAGTTGCGCAGAAGGAGCGCATGGACAAGAGAGACAGGTGGCTGAGGGAGTTGGAGATGCGAGACGAGGAAGACAAGGCCTGGAAGGACAGGATGGCTAAGAAGGCGAGGGGAGTGGGAGAGGAGGCCAAGGGTGTGACTGACATGGTCGCTGAGAAGACAAAGGAATTGAAAGATCAGACTGTCGGAAAATAAACCCACAAAGCCACGGAGAACTTGACCATCATGAGGAAACCCTCGATCAAGAGAAGGGACTGTGAAGAGATGCACTGCGCTTCTTGTCACGATTCGGACGACACACCTTCGTTGTATATACACCACATATTGTACGAGCATGACCTGGGAATTTGGAAGCAGTCCGTCTGTCACTACACGAACACCTGCGCTTCACGCGCTACGGGGCTGTGGTATTAGCCACAGATGCAACCTTTTGTAACATAAAACGATGAAACATACCCATCGAATATTTCAGGAGTTAGTATTATGTTATTCACCACTTCGAAATCACATTCAACACTTCACTTCCACAAGATCAAGCGTGGCAGGCACTAGTCATGAATTGTTCATCACTCTACCTGACGAGGCAGATCGTGCAAAGCATGGAATTCAAGATTGCTCTTCATTCAACGCGCTTGAAGTGTTCGTCAATCTATTTATTTGCCTTCTACCACGACCTCTAGTATCTTCCCCAAGACTGCTGAATATCTAGATAGCCATGTCCACTACTCCAGCAGAGAACAACCCCTGCTGCACGAAGTGCTCCACACCCCGAACCTACCCACAGTTCATCGCAAACCACACCTCCAACAAGCAACTACAACTATCCTCAGACCAAGACACATGCGCCATTTGCCAGCTCCCCTACGGCAGCGAGAACCTCGCCCTCCAAATGCTTGACAAGGCTCTCGCCATCATAAACCTCCCCGGTTGCAACCACATCCTCGGTTCAGCCTGTATCCACCAGATGAGCCTCGACACGTCATCCAGCTCTTCACGGCGATGTCCCCTCTGCCGAAAAGAATGGTGGCAACAACCGGAATACTATTCCGACAACGTCAGCGAGAGTGACAGGCACGATATCTCAGAAGCCATAGCTAGGTGTTGGCAGACCGACTATAGCACTGCTCGGTACCATATCTATGGGGAGCCAGAGTATGCTGGTGTGTATCCGCCACGCGGACTGGATGAGCTGCAGCAGAAATTGGATTTTAAGAGGAGGATTGGAGATGCGGTTACGACGGATGTGATTGAGAAGAGGATTCAAGATTTAAGGAAAGCGTCTGTTGTTGGATTGGGTGAGTTAGCTTATGATCCGTATAAGGTTCTGAGAGGTAATGTGATGGTGGATCCGTTTGCGTTCAATAACTACCACCTTCGAGTACCGGATTTGGGATTCGCTGTCTTTAGGACGCTGGTTTCGACGCGGGGGGTTCGATTTCTGGAGATGTATCGAGATGCCACGCGCGGAAAGCATAGGGATGGGGATGTGGCATGTTTGGTGGCTGTTGAGGAGGAGTGGATGGAGATGTTTCCGAAGGATGAAAGGGATTGGGTTAGACTGATACTTCATGTGCTGTGGGTAGCGGATCTGGATGATCCAGAGGATATAGAGGATCCAGAGGATCCAGAGGTTTCAGAGAATCTCGAAGACGAGGTACCAAAGACCAAGCGGAGGTGGAGGATGCTGTTGCGCAGGAGAAAGGTCCGTTAGTATTGCTGTCTGTATGTGTAAGTTTTGCAGAAAGATGCATTGATCAGAGTGTTTCTATCATTGTGAGTAAGATTATTGACTACGGCTCAATATGACCTCGAAACTGATACATGATGATCGGTCGTGAATCTAGTGACGTCGCTTTCCGCGCGTCTGAGTTGAGTTGACGAGGGAAGGCATGGGCAACTAGCGCCGGAACACGCCGGCCGAAGTCTTGGCAAAGGACACGCTTACGTCTGTGTCGGCGCAACATTGACAGCTCCGCGTTCACTCTTTCCGAATCAGCAACGATGAGGGTTCTTCAAGGCTTCGTTTCCTCCCTTTTACTTTCGGGTGCGGCTATTGTCTCCGCAGCTTCCTCATGGAGCTTTGAGGATGCCACCGTGACTATTACCAGCAAAGGTGCTGGTGTTGGCGGAGGTTCAAAGGACAAGTGAGCTTGAGCTTGTATTATGTGCAATTATTGCAGGACTAATGAGCATTTAGATTGAGTCCTTCGACACCGCTGGGCAAATCTGTATCGTTGGGCGCAACGGATACATTGAAGCTTGTCCTCACAACCCTCGATGGAAGCACCGCGAAGCGACCTCATCAGGCATTCCTTACTCTGACTGAACCGACGACGGGCTTGGAGGAGTCTTTCGTATTCAATGTAAAGGACAGCGGCAAGGGAAAGGTCGATTTGGTAGGTGAAGCGCTGCAATGGCTGCCAGCACAGCTAACACATCCAGTCTCACAAAGACCTACCCCACCAATTCTTGACATCCGAGAAACCAATCGTCGCATCGATTGTCATTGGATCATTCGGTTCCTCCGCGCCATACAAGAGCAAAGCGTTCGACCTCGCCGTCACCCGCGACCCCAGCGTCCCTCTCAGCGTCCCCGAGCCGCCCGTCCGCTACGCCGCCGAGTCTGAGATCCACCACATCTTCAAAGAGGATGCTAAGTCTCCACCTAAGATCATAACGATTGTGTTCGCGGCTGCTGTTGCCGCTGCGCTGCCCATTCTTCTCGGTGTATGGGCTACACTCGGCGCGAATGCCAACCACCTGAGCAAGGCGCTGGGCAACGCACCCGTGTCGCACGGGCTGTTTTATGGCTCCATACTGGCGATGGAGGGCATTTTCTTCCTGTACTACACCACCTGGAACCTCTTCCAGACTCTGCCAGCGGCTGCTGTCGTAGGAGTTGTTGCTTTCCTGAGCGGTAGCCGGGCTTTGTCTGAGGTCCAGGAGCGGAGGCTAGCTGGGCAAAGATAAACAACGGGGAGACTGGAGTATGTATTTGTACGACTTGAAAGGTTATGTCAGAAGTCGAAGAGCGAAAAGTTGGTTTTGAGGCAAGGCGTTGAAGCCGAAGGCACAATAGCATATAGGATACGGGTATGATTGAACTCAAGAACATGAAAAACGAGTACTGTCGCAACGTTCCTTGGATATTCCAGCGAAGAGCAACGCGCTCATCTTTCTGTTTGTGCTGTGTTCAAGCCTATGCAGCCTGATTTTGGTTCGCTGAGAACCTCCGGCTGGGGGCTGCAAACACGTAGTAGCTGCAATTGGCTCACATATGCGTTCTGCAGCACACCCCTATGGAAGGCGCAGTCTGGCTCAGCCGCAACTTGGCTCGCGCCTGCCCTCATTGACTGCGATTACCGACCGGAATTTCATTTCACTTCTTACGTGCGCATTTGAGTAGAACCTAGGTTTCGTATCATGTCATCCTCTCCAACGCACGATATCGGAGGAACCGATACTGACTCTCCCAATTCTTCTGTTCATTCTTTCTACGTGACTGAATTGTCGGATACTGAGAACGATGTTTTCGTCGGAAACGGTAGCCTTGTCGACAAGGCCAGCGCAGCACATCATGGTCGGGTCGCCATTGAAGACTGGTCGCAGACTGGAAGAGGTGTCCACATTGACTTTAATGACAGGGAGACGGTGCCACTAACACAAGGTACGTTCCTGTATGTGTTCTCGCACCACAGCAGTCCGAAGCTGATTATGAGCGCTTCAAGGCCAGTTTCTGGGTCGGGGTGCCACAGGAGACGTCCACGAAACTATCGTACAGGGCTGGAGGCTTGCACACAAGAAGATATACTTCACGCGGCGAGTGCAAGAGAAAGAAAAGAAAGAGGTTCTTATTCTCACGAAATTGGCGCATGTTCATATCACGCAGCTGATTGGTACATATACCCAGAAGAAGGTGTTGGGCGTACTCATGTATCCGGTGGCGGTGTGCGACCTGCACACGTTCTTCGAAGATATTGAGGCGTGGACAAGTATAGCGCCGGCCGGAGACTCTGAAGCAGAGTTGGATTCGTTGGACCCCATTCACAGATCGCGACTCGAACATCTTGGCTATAATTTTCCAGCGAAAATGGAACAGCACAAGGCTACCCTGATTTACTCAAAGATCGGCTGCTTGGTATCAGCTGTCGCATATCTACACGATCAGAACATCCGACACAAGGATCTCAAGCCTTCCAACGTATTATTGTCCCGCTATAATATCTGGTTGAGCGATTTTGGCAGTGCCACCGACTTTACGCTTCTCTCGCAAAGCGCGACAAACAATGAACGCGGAACACCCCGTTACTTCGCTCCTGAGTAGGTTCTATGTTGTTGAGCGTTTACATAATATACTAAGACATACGACAGAGTAGCTGAATGGAAACCTAGTGGCAGAGCAGCAGATATCTTCTCCCTCGGCTGTGTTCTTGTCGAGGTCTTATGCCTAAACAGGAGAGGCTCCTTAGATCACCTAAGAAGACATCGATCACTTGACCCATCCTTTCACGCCAACATCGATCAATTGGATACATGGCTGGAGAATGACGATGACAAGTTCACGCGCGGAGAGTACTACCTGGAGCAGGAAATTAGACTCATGCTCTCCAGGGATCCCATGCGCCGTCCGACAGCGTTACAACTTCTAAGCAGTATCACTGTTCATGACATAACCAAAGACAAGACGTCGACACTTTCCGTATTTGGCGATTGTTGCAAAGAAGGCCTGATTCCATCCGCGGTACATGCAGCAGCGATTACCGAGCTCAGGGAGAAAGCTCTAAGGTCGACAGAGCATATCCAACAAAAATACAGAAACTTGAGCAAGGACTTGAAGGGATGGATAAAATCGCATGAAAAGCTTGCTCGGTATTCAAGTGCACAAGAGAAAGTTTTGGAAGATGCACAAGTGGAGAACGATAAGTTGAGAGAATCGCATAAACCGCATGCTCAGTTCTCAAGTATGGAGGCGGAAGCACTGGCAGCTTCACGGGCGGAGGTTGAAATCTTGATGAAATCGCATAGTGCCCTATCTCAGTTCTCAGATGCGCAGCAGGATGTACTGGCAGCTTCACGAATGGAGGTTCTTAAGTTGAGAACACAGCTTGATGCGCTTGCATCTAGACGCCTCTCTGGCTCGCCCACCGATACGAGCAAGACTAACGCGTTTGCTCCAGACCCTATGTCCTCCCAGGGCCCGAAATACTCCCAGGGTCCGAAATACGCCCAGACTACCCCTTGGGCGAGTCATTACACCCGCCGCGACGGAGTTACTGTACCAATCGTAACGCGGCGTGGCCCGATACCGACGGAGCTGAACGTGGGCTCTATCCAAGAATCCCCCCGCCCAAACGCAAAGGATGACGTCTCTGGCGATGACGAAAAGCCAGCAAAATCATCGATTCGCAATCGTATTGCTTTCGGACTGGGACTCAAAAGATCCGGATCAGGAAATGACAGCAGTGGTACAATAGGCAAGCCAGCGGTATAGCAAGACCGAAGAAGTGAAGAGCTTGATTCGTTACGTTGACAATCCACGCCTGGATACATAATGGTTCATGTACGGACGTCTCTGTTTCAAATCCAATTCAACAGCCCGTCGACATTCTCACGCCCCACAACACCCTCATCAACCATCTGCTCCAAAACCCTCGGTACATCTGCAGTCCTCCCCTTCCAAGTATCCTTCGTCATCTCTGAACCACTCGCCACCGCCTTCAGTATCTCGGCCACAACCGCTTTAGCATCCGCCGTGCTCCGCACTCCGGGCACACCAGCTTTCTCCGCGTAGCTCCTCCCTCCTCGGTAGAAGACACCAGCATTGGAGACAAGAGTCGGTCCGCTCTTCGCCCAAGCAGGCTTTGCGCCCTCAAAGAGCGAGATACGGAAGCGGAATAGATCGGTGTCGCCTCTTGCTATGAAGACATCGGCCAGTCGTGACGGGGATAGGATGGAGGCGTAGGGTGCGCCGGATAGTTTGGTGAGCAGATTTTGGGTCTGAGTAAGAGCTGTCCACTGGATGTCGACGTCTGTGCTGAATGTGGGTTCTGATGGGGTATATTGGGTGCCATCTGCTAGTGCTGAAGCGAGATCCATGAGCGCATCCGCATATGCGGACTGTACGTTGATTGCTGCGAGATCGGGACTTGCACTTTGCGTCGCAGTTTGTACTAGACTGCTGAATATCTGCTCTACAGTCCCAGCGTACTCTGTCGATGTTGTTCTGCCACTGCGGTATTGCATCTCCGCTACGCTAGCTTGGAAATTGGCAGCCGCGAGTATTGCATCGTCTTTGGGTGTTGTTGTCGCTTCTTCCGGCGCGGATATGGAGAGTGTAGGGCCTGCTTTGGGCTCATCGTCGGCTGTCGGAGCGGGCGACTTTTCGATGAGGTCTATGAGTGTTGGGATCTTGTTTGTAGCTGTATCTATCCCGTCCTGTGCTTTCTTCTCTATACTTGATAGATCTGTAGCGGGGTTGTAAAGACCTAGTAATGTCGTGAGGGTACTGAGTTGTGCTGTGCATGTCTCTAGGATGCTTGTCGGTGTCAGCGGCTCTTCAACGGTAGCCCAATCTCCTGGTGTTTCAGAAGCATCTGATTCGGTCTCCATGTCTTGTTCCTGAGACTCCGCTGGCTGTTGACGTTCACCCTCCCAAGCCTCCTTGTACTCTCCTGAGGCCTCGATCTTGGCAATCTCAGCCTGCATCTGAGAGTACTCTTGCTGTTGGCTCTCTAAGCATTTTGTGAGGATATCGAACGCCTCCTCAAGCAATGGTCTCGCGTCTTGCTTTCCGGCTGCCGGTGAGCTGGCTTCTAAACCGGCCTCTGCTAATGAGGTAAGTACTTGCGCAGCGTTGAAAAGAATGTCGGTATTTGTGGGGTTTAGTGAGATGGCGTAGCGATGCGACATCAAAGTCTCCTCTAACAGCGCAGTTCTGTTCCCGAAATGTGAGATGATGCGCTCATCTTCTGAGATGGTGTATTGTAGGTTCGCTCTAGTACCATTAGCATTGAGTGAACAAGCAGGCACCTCGACGACTCACTTGTTGTAGGCAAGATCGAATGATTGAGGATGACGCTTTAGGCCCTCATTATACGCATCTATCGCTCGGTTAAAGAAGCGAACAGCCTTCGCGGCGTCTCCTGCGCGCCATTTGCCTGCCGCCTGTTCGAATTCGTCCGCAGCCTCAAGGAAGTCGTTCTCAGTCTCCGGCTCCGGCGGCTTCACCTTGCCCTTTGGCTTCGGCTTTAAGAATTTCTTCGGCGGCATACTGATGATCGGATGTAGTAGTGAAAAAGTTGATGCAGCGGTAATCTAGAAAGTGGTGTTGTTGTAAACTCAGGTATGCGCAGGTAACCGATATTCAAGTGGCAAATTTGCGCAATCGCGTCTGACGATTGCTAAGCAATTGTAGTGTAGTGCGCAGAAAGACGACTTCCAAGGTTGTGCGCAAGCCTTGATATAACAGCACCTGCTACCAGTGCGTTCCTTCCCGACGTGTTGGCTGCACCAAAACTTTCTGATTGATCGCCCCGCCCCCACTTGCCTCAGCCTCGCGAACGCGACTCTCCACGCTTCCATCACAATTACTTCAACTTTTCCACGTCAAATTCATCCCACAGCAATGTCTTATCGACCAAGAATCCATCTGCATCGAACGAGACCCCTTCTTCATTCAGCAGCTGCAGCTTCGAATCCTGGTTCTGGCCGCTGGGTGCTTTCTCCCAGTCACCCTTGTATCCGCCAACGAACTGTTCAATCAGTACTGGAACTCACACACAGATAATGACAAACGTACACCAGTACTGGCGATACACCGATGGCATGGTACCTCTGGACAGAACGGGTTGACGCGCAGCGCACCACCCACCGCGCGAGGAGAGCTGTTTAAAGCCTTTGAGATGGCTGCATACGTCGTGACGCGACCCTCTGGGATCATCTGAAGGGCTGTATAAACGCGCTCCTGGTATTGAGTAACCTTCTGCTGTTTCGACATGTTGACAGTTGAGATGTGGTTGCATCGACGCGTCCTCCAGCGATGTTGGTTAATTTGGCGCGCAATCACGTGACGTGCTCTCAAATTGACCAACCAAGTGTCAGGACATGTCAGCCACCCTTATCATGTGTGCTACAGATCTTTGAAGCAGAAAAGATGGCGAGTGCAGAAGGCAATTCCAGCAAGCTTGTAACACAGCAAACCTCCTCGCCTCAGAAGGCTCCGCCGGAAGCTCTTGTGAACACTGCAAAATGAGCGGAGGTGTGTCGAAGCGTACTCTAGAAAAAAAAGAGATCTAAGGAAACAAATGCCCATGAGACGCATCACGCGCATACCAGAGAATGGTACTACAGGACATATCCTTGGCCGTTGTCTCAGTGCCTACGATCGCTCACATTACGACCAAGGAAGTCCCCGTCACATCCCGGAGTTCCAGCTCTCCAAGAGACTTTCCGTGATAAAGAGACACACAAGATACGCAATGAGTCAACGCCGGCATCGGAGCCTTTTCTGAGGACGATATAGGGCACACGAACGAACTGTGTGGACTCACCCGTGTGATCGGCCTCCTCACTTCGCACAACACACTTCAAAAGGATACACGCCCGATGAACGGCGACTAGCAGCGTTGCGAGGCGTTAATACTAAGAGTCACACTCGCCGACTACCCTTTGGTCTCACAAGTGTCTCCGAACGGCTCAACGACCAGCCCGGTCCAGTATCTTTAAGTTTCGCACTAGACAATCATCATCACTCTCGCACGGTCACTTCGCAACGACTTGCTCAAGATTGGTACCGCAGCGGGCCGAGCTCCACCACAGCTCACAGGGCTATAAAGCACCTACGCCAGATGATTCGCAGAGGTTGAAGTGACCGCGCCGTGCCGCCCTCCCTTACCTTCTCTGCTCGATTCAACTAACGGGTGCGGCCAGAGCATGAACCTGGACGGGGTCACCATGGCTGATGGGCCCGCAGTGGTCACTGCCTTACAAACGCAGATTGTCACCGAAATATGTCATATCTTTGATCAGTCGGCGGCTATCAAGAGCTGGTGTTTGGATCGCAACCAGCAGCCTAGGTGACTAGGACGGACCTAGAAGTCAGGCATTGCGACATTAGAAACTAGTAACGTCAAACTATGTCTGGCACTGAATCGGTTTTGGCCAGATGTTCTAGACTCGACGACGCTGACGTATATGTTGAGGTATGCAATATCTCTTCGGGTCCACCAACAACACTACGACAACCCTTCAAGTGAGTGAACAGAATACCAACATCTATGCTGATTAGGATCATCGGAAAATCACATCGGTCAGGCTTCGTGTCGCAATCATGGATGGGTAAGTGGTTTGCGCGGATGAGGCCTCTGAACCCCCTGCTTGTAGCCGCTGCAAGTGACAGCGTTGAAAGCCGGATTCCATCTCTCATTGGCAGTCGTCCTTCACCAGACTCTTCTCTATTCAGTAAGGCGTCGTCACATGACCGTCAAGTGCGGTGGCTACCCGTTTTTCTCACATTTCTCACATTGATGGCGTGCGAATGAGCGTGCAGAACAGGGATCACCAGGTGTAGTGGGATTAAGCGCGACCTGGGCAGTGGGACATGGCCGACAGAAAGCGGCCCTGCCCCCGAATCGTGGATGAGACCGTTGCGATTAGCAGAAGAGGATATTTTCGCCATCGTAGAGAAAGGTCAAGTTGTGATGATCTTGATGGCTCGCGACCTACGAGGCTTTTGATGCGTTGTCAAAGTGGCGAGGGCGATCGGCTGCTCAGCCTCAAACTAAGAGCCGAGTTGATGCACTTAGCCACATGTCAGCTTGCCAGAAACGGGCCTTCCGGCTAGACAGCATTACGTGTCTAAGTAAGCCTTAGCTTTAGTATTTCTTAACTATAGAAATTTAAAAAAATCTTAACTTAATAACTAAAGTATACTATTATAGTTATATACTACTACTAATACTTAAAAAAAATAAGTATATAAAATTTTTATACTTATATATTAATTTTTCTATACTTATTTATATACTTTAAAATAGTAACTACTTTTACTTTTTAATAAGTAAGCTTAATACTATAAGTATACTTTAGTTATTTAAAATTTACTACTTATTTTATTAGTAACTTTTATATTAAGTAAAAGTTTACTAACTTTATTATACTTTTTAAGGCTACTTATAATTACTCTAATATAAATAACTTATAAGTAAACTTTTACTTTATAGTAATAGCTAATTTTATTTATAGTAATATAAGCTTTAGTACTAATATTAAATTTTTTATATAAAGTAAATATAATACTTTTAAATAACTTTATAAAAGAGTTCTTACTTAGACTACTACTACTAGTAATAATAACTTCTTTATTAATATTAAAAGCTAAAGCTAAAAAAAGTTTATAATATAAGTAAGATATATTTTATTTAAAGTTTAAAGATAATAAAAAAAATTAGATTAGTAGACTAGTAATTAATAAGCCTATAGGTATACACTATA